ATTTTCATACACTGCTGCTGGGAATGTAAAATGGTACAACTGCATTGGAAAACAGCCTGGCAGTTCCTCAGATGTTTAAATATAGAGTTAACCATATGACCCAGCAATTCCATTCATTCCTAGGTATATACCCAAGAGAAATGAAAACACATTCACACAGAAACTTGTATATTAATGTTGATAGCAACATTATTCATAATAGCCAAAAGGTGGAAACAACTGAAATATTCATCAACAGATGAACACATAAAATGTGGTTCATCCACACTATGGAATATTATTTGGCCATAAGGTGAAATGAAGTACTGATTAATGCTACAACATGGATGAACCTTGAAAACATTGTGCTAAGTTAAAGAAGCCAGTCACAAAAGACCACATACTATGTGATTCCATTCATATGAAAGTCTAGAGTAAAGGAATCTATAGACACAGAAAATAGGTGAATGGTTTCTTAGGGTTCTGGTTGGGGGAATGGGAAGATGGAATGGGGATTAGCTTAAAAGGCACTAGGTTTCTTTTTGAGGTGGTGAAAATACTTTAAAATTGACTGTGGTGATAGTCACATGTGTCTATGAGTATACAGAAAGCCATTGAAATGTATACTTTTTTTTTTTAACCTAGGAATACATTTTTTCCCCAAAAAATGCCATTTAAGTATATACTTTAAATGAGTGAATTTATACTTTTTGTTTGTTTCTTTCTTTCTTTTTGAGACAGCCTCTCCCTCTGTTGCCCAGGCTGCAGTACAGTGGTGTGATCTCAGCTCACTGCAACTTCTGCCTCCTGGGTTCAAGTGATCCTCCCACCTCAGCCTCCTAAGTAGCTGGGACTTACAGGTGCATGCCACCACACCTGGCTAATTTTTGTATTTTATTTTGTAGAGATGGGGTTTCATCATGTTGCCCAGGCTGGTCTCGAACTTCTGGACTCAAGCAATCTGCCTGCCTCAGCCTCCCAAAATGCTGGGATTACAGGAGTGAGCCACTGTGCCTGGCCAATTATATACTTCAAATGAATGAACTGTATGTGAATTATATGTATGTGAATTTATATGAATAAAGCTGTTAAAGGCTGGGTGCGGTGACTTATGCCTGTAATCCCAGCACTTTGGGAGGCCGAGGTGGGTGGATCACTTGAGGCCAGGAGTTCAAGACCAGCTTGGCCAGCATGGTGAAACCTCATCTCTACTAAAAATATAATCATTAGCCGGGTGTGGTGACGGGTGCTTGTAATCCCAGCTACTCGGGAAGCTGAGGCAGGAGAACAGCTTGAATCTGGGAGGCTGAGGTTGCAGTGAGCCAAGATTGTGCCACTGCACTGCAGCCTGAGTGACAGAGACTCTGTCTAGAAAGAAAGAGAGAAAGAAAAAAAAGAGAGAGAGAGAGAAAGGAAAAAGAGAAAGAAAAGAAAAGAGAGAGAAAGGGAGGGAAGAAACAGAAAGAAAAGAGAAAGAAAGAAGGAAAGAGAAAAAGGAGAAAGAAAGCTGTTAAAAAAAAAAAAAAAAAGGTGCCATTGGCCATCAGGTATGTGAGTCTAAAGCCTGAGTTGGAAATAAGGACTTGGAAGTCATCATTATGTAGATGGTAGTTTTTCTTTTTTTTGGAAACAGGGTCTCACTCTGTCATCCAGGCTGGAGTGCAGTGGTGTGACCTCAGCTCACTGCAACCTCTGCCTCCCAGGCTCAAGAGATCTTCCTACCTCAGCCTCCTGAGTAGCTGGGACTACAGGTCACGCTACCATGCCCAGCTAATTTTTCTATTTTTTGGAGAGACGAGGTTTTGCCATGTTGCCCAGGCTGGGCCTGAGCTCAAATGATCCACCCACCTTGGCCTTCCAAAGTGCTGGGATTACAGATGTGACCCACTGCGCCCAGCCCTGGACAGTAGTTTAAATGTAAGAATGGATACAATCACTGAAAGAACACATAGAATGAAGGGGAAGAGAAGCTAATTGAATAAATGATTAGAGAGATAAGATAGATATACAAAGGATAATAATCATCACAACCTCAAATTAAATAGGAAAGCCCAAATAAGAAAGGGACAATTCAGTGGTAATGGCAATTGATTTGGTGGTAATAACCATTGTGTCCACAAAACGGTACAAAAAGCAGATCGTAGAAAGAGAGGCCTCTATCCCTATAACTCCACTAAGATGACTTGCCATGGTCTGATTCTCCATTTTCCAAATCCGATGGTCAATTTTCAGTGATCTTAACCTGTTTCATGAGCAGGAATGATGGAGATTATAGCCCCTTCTTGAAGCCTTTTTTTGGTTAGTTTTATAAGACCCCTCACTTTTGAGTTTTCTTCCTATTTCCTGGCTACTCTTTTAAAATAAATTTTGTTGTATGTTCCTCCTCTCTGACCTTTATTTCGGAATGCCTCAGGATTAGAGGTCTCAGTCTTTAAACTGCTTCTCTTTTCTTCCACATTGATTTCTCTCCACCCCGTGGCTATGTATGCCATTTATAACTTAACTACTCCTTAATTTATACCTCTCACTGTCCCTTCTATGAGCTCCAGGTTCATATTTCCAATTGTTTACTCAGTAACTCCATTCGGAAATCTAATAGGGATCTCCACTTTAATATGTCTGAAGTAAAATTGGACGTTCCCCCTGCCAAAAAAAGAAACCCTTGCTCCTGTCTCCCCACATGCGCTATCTCAGTAAACGACATCACTATCCAGTTACTCAAATCAAACTGATTTTTGTATTTTGTACTTTGACTTTTGTACTTTTTTACTGATTTTTGATTCTTGTCTTTATCTTGTCCCCCACATTCAATCTATTAACACATCACCTCTCCACCACTTTCAGAGTACATCCTGAATCCTACCACTTTCATTGCAACACTCGTCTTGTAGGTCTTCTTCAATAGCTTCCTAACTGGTCTTTTAGCTTCTATTTGGCTTCCCTATAGGGAGTTCTCAAAGAATCAACCACAGTGAACATCTTCAATTACAAATCAGATCATGCCACTCTTTTACTCAAAACCCTCCATGGCTTCCCAGCATTCTTAGGATAAAATTCAAAGTCCTTTCATTGGTCCATAAGTCGGTAAGTGATCTGGCTCCCATCTTGTTTCTCCAAACTAAGTTCCTATCTCTTCTTTTGCCACGGTGGCTTCCTTGCCAAGCACACTCAAGCTGCAGGGTCTTTACCTTGTTGTTTCTTCTGCTTGAAATGTTCTTTCCCAAGTATGTATAGCTTACTGTCTCACTTCAAACCTTTATTTAGATGTCACCTCAGCAGAGGAGCCTTCCCTGAACCCCCTATGTAAAAGAGCACACCCATCCATGTAACCTATTTTTATTCTGCTTTATTTTCCTTTACAGTACTCTTAATAACTTTATTATCTGTGTGTCTTTCCCCTCCTCCTATGCTCCCAACCCTTGCACTAGTAAGTTCCATGAATGCAAGAATCTTGGTTCTATTCACTGTTGCAGCCCCAGCACATAGAACAGGGCCTTCCAGAGCAGGAATTCAATAAATAGTTGTTGACTGAATGAATGAAAGAATGAATAGGATGGTGGGGCATTAAATAGCTACTTTGTGCTGTAGTCCTCTTCTAGGTGTTGAGATTACAAAGATGATAAAAACATAGTCCTTGCCCTCAAGAATTTATATTCTAGTAGTATAGCTGGATTACAAATATGTAATTTTAGATTAAATGTTATAGGTAAAAAATGTTACGAAAAAAACAGTGCAGAGTAAGGGGATAGATAGAGGAGAATAATGGCATGAGGTTCCATTTTAGTTAAAATAGTCAAGAGCTGCCTGTCTTAGGAAGTAGGATTTCAATAGTCACTTCAAGTCTAGTAAAGATCTAGTAGATGGACATTCCAAGAAAAGGAAAAAACCTTAGGGCTGGGACATGCTTTGATTGGAGTGACAGTAAGGCTAGTGAGGCTAGAACAGAGCTAGGCAGTGCAGGAGGAGATGAATCAGATAAATAGGCAGGTGCTAGATCAGATCATGTAGGGCCCTTCTTAGAGGCAACTGATTTTTTGATGGCCTCTAAGGCTATCATACTTTTGACTTTTATTATGTGATGGGAAGCTATTGGAGGTTTTGAACAAGGTGGGGACTGGGGAAATAATACGACCTTACTTTTTTTTTGAGATGGAGTCTCATTCCATCACCCAGGCTGGAGTGCAGTGGTGCGATCTCGGCTCACTGAACCTCCGCCTCCGGGTTCAAGCGATTCTCCTGCCTCAGCCTCCCAAGTAGCTGGGATTGCAGGCACGCTCCACCACGCCGGGTAATTTTTTTTTTTTTTTTTGTAATTTTAGTAGAGACGGGTTTCACCATGTTGGCCTGGTTTCGAGCTCCTGACCTCAAGTGATCCGCATCCGCCCACATCCGCCCACATCCGTCTCCCAAAGTGCTAGGATTACAGGCATAAGCCACCGGGCCCGGCCAGACCTTACATTTAAAAAAATCACTCTGGCTGCCTTATGTTTAACTGTAATGGCAATAATGGAAATAGACAAACGAGGTAAGTTTCTATTGCGGTAGTCTTAAGTAATATATAATGACTTGGACTAGGAGAGTAGCGGTAGGAGAGGTGAGAAAGGGTCAGATTTTTGCACCCTGGCCTTCTGGTTGGGGAAAAAAAAAAAAAAAAAATTCCGCAGCTTGGCAGCTGGGATTAATCCTCTGCACGGTTCCTGTAGGTGTCATAACGAAACAGAGTACAACAGTCGCCCCTTATCACCCGATATGGGAACCTTTACCACACCACCCCTCTTCAGAAAAGAGCCTCTGGAATAGCTACACCTCAAGCTACTAAGCCCCTTCTTTAAAAATACGTAAATGGAGACTCTCAGGGGAAAATGGGCCTCGATAGTATAGAAACCACTTAAGGAAACGAAGTCCTGAAAGGAAACGGGGATTTTCAGAAAAATCCTTGTGGCAATCATTGCTCGTTCCCAGTATTCAAAAACGGCAAAATTGGCCATCATCCAGGAGGTAGCCTGTCGATCCCTTGGAAATTTAGTTTATTTCTATCACAACTCTGGGAAGCCCCTAACTCGCATTTGAGTATCACAAGAAAAGCAAGCCCGAAGAAACTACAAAAACAACTTTGCCTCTTCGGTAATGCGCACGCGCCCCTCCCTCTGTTTTCCGTTGGCTTTAAGCCCCGCCCCTTGTGCGTCCTTCGAGGAGGGTTGCGAGCCGTGAGCTCGCGCGACCACTCTTCCCTCAGTCTTCTCGAGCACATCGTCGCAAACGGGGCCGGAAAGCGTGGCAGCGCAGGCGCAAGCGCAGAGAGCGGAGGCGGTGGTGGTGGCGGCCGCTGGCCAGTGTAAGATGGCGGCGGCGTTGGTGGTGGCAGTGGACGGGGCGGCTGGGCCTGGAACAGTCGGAGCAGCCGCTAGCAGAAGGATGACCCAAGACGGGAAGCGGGCTGCTGAGCCTCGCCGATTCCCGTGCTTGTAACTGCCCCAGCCGGACACCCCCCCCTTGACCTTACCCGGTCTGTGTCTCGTTCCGGCTCGGCCTGCCCCCCCTCCGCTCCCCAGCCGGTTTCCCTTAAGGATGGGCCTGACCCCTTTCCCAAGCTCTTAGCGCTCAGGTCTTTTCCTTCCGCCGACCCGAAGTCATCGCCGGGAATACTGGTTGTCCTTTCCTCAGGTCAGCCCTGGGGTTGCCCCCAAGAGCCAGCCCCACAGTTCACAGGGACGCCTTGCTTCGTTGGGTGACCCATTTGTGCGCTCCTATTTCTCCCCTTAGATTGAGGGACATGGCTCGCCCTGCGTCTCCCCGTCACCTCAGGGCCACCGCGCAATGGGTCCCCCTCCCCCATCCCAAGTTCCCAGGCCCAGCACTTTGTACGGAAGGCGGAGGTCCAAGAATCCCGGAGTCGGTTGTTGCCTTGTGGTCTTGTACCCTTTGTGTTATAATTCTCTTAGTTTACCTCCTCTAACTCCCAAATCTTTTAGGATATCTTAGAACGGTCCCATTTGGTCCCTGTTAGTTGGAAAGCATCTGGTGGCTTGAATTTCTGACTCATGATTGTTACTGGAGTCTCTGTAAACAAACCGGCACTAGCGCTATCACATTCTCTCCGGGATTTCCCCCTCTGCTCTGTGGCTTCTTGTGGAGAGGTTGTTTGGTTATGGTTTAGCGTTGAAAAGATTCAGGTTATCCTTTTAAATGACTTTACGTTTTAGTGGAGCTGGGAGATTACTTGCCTGGCTTCTTATCTTCGTGTTGGTTCATTTTATTTCCATATGCGTGTGGGTTATTCTGTAATTAGAATTAGATAAATTATTCTGCTTTTAAATAGTTTTGAGAAGGCCTAAACATACTGAAGTGTATTCATAAATATTTTTATTATGTTCAGTAGAAGACACACCTTTGCCATGTAAATTTTAACTTTTCTCAGTCCTTCAGTGAATCGACAGACCTATTTTCTCAGGAGCTCAACTTGGCCTTACTTCAGTGATAAAAGGAGGAAAGGTGAGTGGGAGTTGGAGGCATTAAAATTCTTGAGTTCAAGACAGACTACCCTGATGCTCAACTGCTGACCACTACAGTCATAAAATTCCTACCAGTTTCCCAAAGAGTTTGGGTGTTGTTCTTGGCTTTGTTCCAGCTCTGGTTGAATTACTTTTACAAGTTTAATTGTCTGTGGGCTTCTTGTCTTTCCGTCCTAAACTATTGCTGTATGTCTTCAAATGACTTATGCCTAGGAGTGAGTGCGTGCCCCCTACCCCATGTCTTCTTTTCTTCTTTATTCATTTTCATTGTATTTTGTCTGTGTGTCGATCATATTTCTTACGTTATTAAAAACTGGAACTTAGTTTGCCTGCGTTCTGTTCAGCCTGTTGTCAAATCAGATCTCTTCCCCTCTGACAGCTTTGGGTTGTCATCCCTTGGTATTTAGAGGAGAATATTTAGCTGCTTGTAACTAAAAGCTGGGGAGTGATGAGTGATGCTGCTTTTAGTTGGTGTCTGAGTCCAGTCTATTTCAGAATTCCGACTTTTTAGGATATAGTGGGAAATTTTTTGTAAAAAAATAAATAAATAAATAGTGGCTGCTCTTTCTTTTGTAGCTGGTCTGAAGAATTCTTGGTTAGCAGAAGAAACATCCTGGGCATTCAGCAGCATGGGTTGGTGCCAAAAAGGGAGTCAGAACATACTTATAAATGCAGTTTTCCTGAAGCTTTCAGGTTTCTGGTAGCAGAGACTAGAGGCTCATGGCATGTGACAGAAAAGCTAAGTGACTGGAAGGCAGGCCTGGCTGATTCCTAATATCTTTATGATTTGTAGTGGGAAAAGATTGAGTGACGCTGGTGAGTTTTATTCCATTTGATGACTGAATTAGAAAACGCTAATTATGTACTGGAATAAAATGATTAGTGATGGTGTGTATGTGTATCAGTAAGATATAAAGAGAAAAGGACAGTCTTTAGAGATTGGACAGACTTTTAATTTAATTTTAAGGTTTAAATACTAGACTAATATTTCTTAGCCATGTGAACTTGAGCAAGTTACTTAAACTTCTCTGACTCTTAATTTCCACAACTCTAAAAGTGTGATAATACCGCTTACCTCCCAGGGTCATTGTTAGTATTATAGGGAATCTATTTAAAGCTCTTAGTAATCTAAGAGCACGTGGTACACACTCAAAAAATGTTTTGTTTTTTTCTGCATATCATTGATATAGCTTTGAAAAAGTTATACATCAATTTATGCTGCTTTTACATTTTGCCTTAAAACATATTTTTCTGGTTAATTTTCCCAACAGATTTTTAATTGATCAACTTAGACATGTCCTTTGTAAGTGCCCACCTAGAATTGTCTTCTGAACATGAATCCCCTGGTGGGGGTTCATAACCAGAGGACAGAATATTAGATATTGGTGTATGTATATTTCAAAATGTATTCTTAAACATCAGTAAATTTTTTTGTTCATTGGTTCCTGCTTCTTGGTGTCTCTGTTAGCACACCTGATCAGAGTTGGCAGTGTTGCAATTCTTTCCCTTTCTGCTACAATGTTGTTTACCTCTCCTGCAACTACCTTTTATACTTTCCTTTTTTGCCATGAAGGGAATACATTTTTTTCCTTGTTGTGGGGCTGTACAGTGATCCTCATCAACAAATTATCAAAGAACTGTATGAGGAGAAGGTTTTCATTTCTTTTTAAAGTGAATCAGGGCTAGGGAGTTAGGAATGAAGAGGGTTTTGTTTGCTTGTTTGTTTGTTTTTGAGATGGAGTCTCGCTCTGTTGCCAGGCTGGGATGCTGTGGCGCGATCTCAGCTCACTGCAACCTCCAACTGGTTCAGGTGATTCTCCTGCCTCAACCTCCCGAGTGGCTGGGATTACAGGCATGCGCCACCTTGACCAGCTAATTTTTGTATTTTTAGTAGAGGAGGGGTTTCACCATGTTGGCCAGGATGGTCTCAATCTCCTGACCTCATGATCCGCCCTCCTTGGCCTCCCAAAGTGCTGGGTTTACAGATGTTAGCCGCCGTGCCCGGCCAAAGAGTTCTTTTTTCACCTCCACAGCTGGACCATCTTAATAATATGACAGCACAGATGAAGAGTTTTAAACCCTTTGTTGGCTTTTCTTTCACATCTTTTTGGCAAGGGCACATGAAAATTAAGTACTGATAATATCGCAATGAAAGCGGCTGTGTCATTCACACCAGTGATCAGTTTAGATTTGATGAACTTTTAACTGCCATCATCCAGGGTCTGAATTCTCCATTGTAAGGTAAGGACTCTCCAGGGTGGTGGTGAGATGGGTTGAGATTGCATTTATATCATTTTTGTTTTTATGAACTCTGAAGATCCATGTCGGGTGACGGAAAGGGTGGGAGGAGAAAAGAAAATACTTTGAAAGGGATAACTTGGACTCTCTTTCCTTATGTGCTGGGTAAGAATCCCCAGGTAACATCTGTGTATAGTAAATCAGTATTTCTAGTCTGTGGGCCACACTGTAAACTTTTTGTCTTCTAAAGTTTTTTTTTATTTTTGGTTTTTGTAGAGGTAGGGTCTCACTTTGTTGCCCAGGCTGGTCTCAAACTCCTGGGCTCAAGTGATCTTCCCACCTCAACTGAGTAGCTGGGACCACAGGCATATCACCATACCTAGCTAATTTTTTTTTTTTTTTTTTAGAGATGAGGTCTTACTTGGCCAGCTCATCTCAAGTGATGCTCCCATCTTGGCCTCCCAAAGTGCTGGGATTACAGGCATAGCCACAGCACCCAGCTTGAAGATATTTTTATATTTCCAGGGTTTTAGGTGTTTACTTAAGAATTATGACATCTTATTAGGTAGTATTTCCTAGGATGGTTGGAGTGGAAGGCTAAGAATGCTTGTGACCTTTTAGTTCTCACCACCAACCTCTTAAAGTGCAGTCTATTTATTTATTTTTGAAACAGGTTCTCACTCTGTCACCTGGGGTGGAGTGCAGTGGCACCATCATGGCTCACTGCAACCTCGACCTCCTGAGTTTAGGTGTTCCTCCCATCTCAGCCTCTCGAGTAGCTGGGACTACAGGTGCACGCCACCATACCTGGCTAATTGTTGTATTTTTTATAAAGATGAGGTTTCACCATATTGCCCAGGCTGATCTCGAACTCCTGGGCTCAAGCAGTCCTCCTGCCTCAGCCTCGCAGAACAGGATTACAGGCGTGAGCCTCTGCGTCCTGCTAAGTGCAGTCAATTAAATGTATAAAAATCTGCCAGGCCAAGTGCGGTTGGCTCATAGCTGTAATCCCAGCACTTTTGGGAGGCCAAGGTGGGAGGATCACTTGAGCCTAGTTGTTCAAGTCCAGCCTAGGTGATGTTGAGACCTCGTCTCTACAAAAAGTTAAAAAGATAGCCAAGCATGGGGCAAGTACTTGCACTCCTATCTCCTTGGGAGGCTGAGGTGGGAATATCGAGTCCAGGAGTAGAGGCTGCGGTGAGCTGAGATTGCACCACTGCACTTTAGTTTGGGCAACAGAGCGAGACCTGGTCTCAAAAAAAAAAAGAATCAGTCCCGATGCCATGGTCCTTAGTGTTGAGTAGGACCAACCTAAGACAGAAGCTTGTCTACAGAGAGCTGAAAGAAAGCAGCCTCTTTGTTGCCAGTTTAAAACAATACTGACATTTTAAAAACAAACAGATTCTAGTAAAGAGACATTGTATAGAAGCACACCCTGTTGTGAAAGACTGGGATCTTGAGTTTCATCCTCTAAGTCTTGTATTCTATCAGGTGAGTTATAGACTTTTAAAATCATAAAGTGACTATTAAAATGCTTTCAGTAGATAGATTCATTACTCCATCATTTTTGCTGTAGAAAAGTTTATTCTAAACATGTCTAGGAAATACCCAGATTATAAAAGAGAAATAATGGTATCCAAACAGGACTTTGTATTGCATAACATTGGTGTTAGAGTTAGTTTTTAAGTCTCCGAGACTGAATTAGCTTTTTTTTTTTTTTTTTTTTTAAAGCAGATTATCAGTGAGCTAAGATAATCTGCTGTTTACCCTCACCTGTTTGGAACGCAGGCAACTGAATTAATTGAATCAGCAATAGGCATGGAGTGGTGACTTTATATATTTTCATTTTAGAGCCAAAAGCCATTGAGTTTTAGCTTAGCTTTGTAGTAATATTAAAAGCTTCATCTTTTATTTTCACGAATGTACCCAAGAAACGTCATTGCTGTTAGTCAGAAAAGGAGGCTACTTGCTCTTTATTGATTTAGTCATTCTGCTCTTGGAGTGAGTAGAAAGTCTTTGAAAGCTTTTCAAAAATTGGTGAGTGATGAATTTTATGAATTAGTCACTTCTTTGTAGCAGTTTTTTTTTTATCTCTACCTCTACAGGACATAGTTCCTGGGCCAGAAGCCAGATTTCTCAAGTACCACCTAACCCCAGAAATGTGTTATGATACAGATAAATTAATCAACGGAGGCTGCCTTGAGGTTGCCAGTAGGGCACTGGGGAGTAATTAATATGACAAAGATGGCATCTTATTAATGAAATGTATTAATAGTATGTCTAGTGGATTGGGTCATTGCAAAAATTTTCATCATTGTATCTGAGATTAGATATTTGCTATTTATCCTCTGAAGATACTGTTTAAGGAAGTCTGGCCAAGTTCTGAAGTTAAGCATACATATTTGCCTCACATGCCTTTTTTTTTTTTTCTTCCTGGTTTTTTCTTAGCCATCTGGAAAGCTACTATAGGGTTTACCTCTAGTAGTAGCCAAGTGACTGTATTCCTCTGGTGTACTTTAATCATTGGCACATTACCAGGTATGTTTTGGTAACCTTACTTAGGATCCAACATTAGACCCTTTCTTCTAACCTAACCTGTAGGAAGGCACTTCTTGATGTTTTAAGCCTCTCTTCACTGTTTTATTGTAAGTTGTACCTTTGGAGCATCATTTTTTCATCTTAAATCCCCTCCAGCAATTTAAGAAAAAATTTGAAATATAAATGGCAAAAACTGTTAATGGCAACAGACTTCTGATGTAAACATAAATCGAGATGGAAACAAAATGAAAAGTAGATTTCCCTAAGAATTAGTTAAATTGAGATAAACGTGCTTGGATGTTTTTATAGAAAGGTCTCTTAGCCAGGTGCAGTGGCGTGTACTTGTAATCCTGACTACTCAGGAGGCTGAGTTGGGAGGACTGCTTGAGCTGAGGAGTTTCAGGCTAGCCTGGGCAACATAGCAAGACCTTGTCTCTTTAAAAAAAAAAAAAAAAGATTCTTAGTTCTGCTGCTGGAAATTAACACTTAAGGGTTAGAGTGCGTTCCTGACATAGTCTGAAATACTGTTATTAGAATTAAAACCAGAGGCCACGCATGGTGGCTTATGCCTGTAATCCCAGCATTTTGGGAGGCTGAGGCGGGTGGATCACCTGAGGCCAAGAGTTCGAGACCAACCTGGCCAACATAGCAAAACTCCATCTCTACTAAAAATACAACAATTAGTCAGCTGCAGTGGCATGCGCCTGTAGTCCCAGCTACTTGGGAGGCTGAGGCAGGAGAATTGCTTGAACCCGGAAGGCAGAGGTTGCAGTGAGCCAGGATCACAACACTGTACTCCAGCCTGGGTGACAGAGTGAGACCCTGTCTCAAAAAAAAAAAAAAAAAAGAATTAAAGCCGGTAAACTATAAACACTGGGCATTTGATGTTACCAGTAGGGAGAGAAGGCATTAATTCAAAGAAGGAACAAAGTTCCTTATTCGTAGTTTGAATCCTCATCATTATCCATGGTGATTGCTTTGCAGTCCTCCATGTTGGATATCCTCAGAACCTTCAAGAGGGAGAAGAGGCCAGGTGTGGTGGTTCATGCCTATAATCCCAGCACTTTGGGAGGCCAAGGTAGGAGGATTACTTGAACTCAGGAGTTTGAGACTACTCGGCAAGATAGTGAGACTCCGTCTCTACAATAATAATAGTAAAAAAAATTTTTTTTAATTAAAAGAGGGAGAAAAACTTAGGGAGGCTTATATTGTGGGTTCCTGGGTAGACTGCCTTACTGTAGTTCGTAGAACATGAATACTTGAAAGAAGATATTAACGGAGCTCTCTGAATTCTTTAAAACGCCAGAGAGAATGGGTAGGCAGATTTCATAGACTTGGAACTGTGTCCTATATTGTATACGATGTTTGGAGAATCATTGCTGAGTGGTAAGGAAGTCTAGGCTTCTAGGAAATGTAGTCTGGTATACAGATGGAAAACTAGAAAAATAATATAAATGCCTACTGTGTACATACAGGCTCTTAGCATACGTTGTCTTTAATCCTCTAAATTCCTGCAGGGTGGTGATATTATCCCATTTTACAAAATAAAAACTCGAAAGCAGGTGGTAGAGGTAGAATTCAAACCCAGCTCTGCTTGACACCAAAGCCCTTTTCTTTCTTTCATAACACATGCTGTCTTTAAAAACAGGACTTTTTTTTTTTTTAGACGGCGTCTTGCTTTGTCATCAGCCTGTAGTGCAGTGGCGTGATCTTGGCTCACTGCAGCCTTCTCCTATTGGGTTCAAGCAATCCTCCTGCCTCAGCCTCCGAGTAGCTAAGACTACAGGTGCATCCCACCATGCCCAGCTAATTTTTGTGTTTTTAGTAGAGACGGGGTTTCACCTTGTTGGCCAAGATGGTCTTGATCTCTTGACCTCATGATCCGCCCGGTCTGGCCGCCTAAAGTGTGGGGTTTACAGGCATGAGCCACAGTGCCTGGCCAAAAAAAAAAAACCAAGGCTTTTCAAAGCCAAATGATGAAGCAAATGAACTGAAAGGTAGAATTAAATATTTCTTATAAATATATGTATATAAAGTATTCAAATGACAGTAGGAATAAAGACATTTTTCATTGTTTAGACATAGTTATGCTATATTGGTAAGCTAATGAGTTTTTTAAGGAAACAATTTTTTTTTTTTTTTTTTTTTTTGGAGACAGAGTTTCGTTCTTTGGCCCAGGCTGGAGTGCAGTGGCACAATCTTGGCTCCCTGCAACCTCCGCCTTCCAGTTTATGTGATTCTCCTGCCTCAGTCTCCCCAGTAGCTGGGATTACAGGCATGCTCCACCACACCCAGCTGATTTTTGTATTTTTAGTAGAGACGGGATTTCACCATGTTGGCCAGGCTGGTCTCAAACTCCTGACCTCATGATCCACCTGCCTCGGCCTCCCAAAGTGTTGGGATTACAGGTATGAGCCACTGCACCCAGCCCAGGAAATAATTTTTATAGACCTAAGAGACAGCCGAATCCTAGTGTTTTATGATTCTTTACTAGAGAGAAAATCAGCATTCCATTCAATCTCTGAGATAATTCCAGGGGAAAAGCTGTTCTGACTCTTACAGCCTTTTAACAGTATACTGTTTTCTGTATTTTTTGGAAGCATGGACTGTCCTCCTTACCTTCTTGGTTTCGTTTTTCTGAGACAGGGTCTTGCTCTGTCACCCAGGCTGGAGTACAGTGACCCCATCACGGCTCACTGCCATCTTGTGACCTCTGGGGCTCAAGTGATCCTCCCACTTCAGCCTCCCAAGTAGCTGGGACTACAGGTGTATACCACCACACCCTGCTTTTTATTTTTTTATTTTATTTTATTTATTTATTTTTGAGACAGTCTCGCCGTGTCGCCCAGGCTGGAGTGCAATGGTGCGATCTCGGCTCACTGCAACCTTCGCCTCCCAGGGTCAAGTGATTCTCCTGCCTCAGTCTCCCGAGTAGCTGGGATCGCAGGCGTGTGCCACCACATGTGGCTAATTTTTGTATTTTTAGTAGAGACAGGGTTTTACCATTTTGGCCAGACTTGTCTCAAACTCCTGACCTCAGGTGATCCGCCCGCCTCAGCCTCCCCAAGTGCTGGGATTACCAGCATCACTTAGGCGTCAGCCACTGTGCCCGGCCTAATTTTTGAATTTTTTGTAGAGACAGAGTCTCCCAGTGTTGCCCAGGTTGGTCTCAAACTCCTGGGCTCAAGCAGTCCTCCAGCCTCGGCCTCCCAAAGTGCTGGGATTACAGGCATGAGCCGCTGCGCCCAGCCTATCCTCACGTTGAAACCTTTTTTTTTTTTTTTTGAGATGGAATCTCGCTCTGTCACCCAGGCTGGAGTGCAGTGGTGTGATCTCAGCTCACTGCAAGCTCCACCTCCCGGGTTCATGCCATTTTTCTGCCTCAGCCTCCCAGGTAGCTGGGACTACAGGCACCCGCCACAGCACCTGGCTAATTTTTTGTATTTTTAGTAGTGATGGGATTTCACCATATTAGCCAGGATGGTCTTGATCTCCTGACCTTGTGATTCGCCCGACTCGGCCTCCCAAAGTGCTGGGATTACAGGCATGAGCCACAGCGCCCGGCCACCTTGAAACCTTTTTATTCTTGACTTCCAGAGATTTAATTTTTATTATTCGTTCTTCTCAATTTTTCTCTCTGCTCTCCTTTCTTTTCTCTAAGAGTAGGTATTCGTGAAGATTCTTCCCTTGAACTTCCTCTCCCAGAGCCTTCTTAGGTGCCTAATTGTTTGAGGTATGATTTACAAGCTGTTTGATTTTGAAGTTTCTCTATACAGATAACTCACAAGTCTATATCTCTGGCCCTACTTTATTTAAGTTCCAAATAATTTGTTTGTCACTACTTTCCTAACATGTCAGCTTGGATTTTAAATATATTCAGAATAATCTCTTATCCCACCTACCGGCATCTCATTTGAGTCACTTGATTTCCTCTGGGCACCAGACTAAGAACTTGTCTTTTTTGACTCAGCTTTGTAACTGCTTATTGAGCTAAACATTACCTCCCTTTAAGACCATTCTCATGTTGATCCCTTTTTAATTCCCTTTGCCGTCCACTCAAGACAGCCCCTCATTACTTCTTATCTTGGCAACTATAATAGCTTTTAAACTTGTTTCTCTTTCCTTTTCCTTCGTTTTAGTCCATCTTATTATCTTTGACAAAATAATTTCCCTGATGCCTGACACCACCCCCCCAAGAACAAAGCTTTTATTATACCTCTTAACTTATCAACTATACCTTACTGGCTAGCCAAACTAGACTACCCGTGTATGTTTCTTGACCATCTCAGGTTTTTAACCTCCATGTCTTTTCTCGCTCTGGTCCTGTGGAATGTCTTTCTGAACTCTACCCATTGAAATCCTGCCTGTCTTTTAAGGCCCATCTTAAAACCTAATTTTCCATAGAAGCGTTTCCTTTCTCCCTGAAACTAAATATAATCTTTTCCTCTGTTCAACCACAACAGCATTCTATTTATCTTTTTAAAAAGAGATATTGATACTTATATCTCTTGTATCATGGTTATATACTCATTTTTCCTAATTGATTAATTGGCTACAAAAGGGATTGTGACTGCCTTGTTTATATTTGTAGCTTCTGTATTGCCTGGTACCAATGCTATTGTGTAACAGCATGTTTGCTTACAGATAGGCCACTGGGTGGTGCCAGAGGCTTGTAATTTGTATAAAAATGAGTAGCCTAGACTCCCAGCTAGAGTGTATGTGCTAGAGCCTCTCTGCAGTTGGGTTGTTTGTACGGTCAAATCTTCAGCACAGTAGGAATAGAGATTAATTTTCCCGTTCCAGAAACATTCAGTTTCTTTCTGCTCATCTGTCCAGCCTACCAGAGGAGACAGTGTCATATGTTCGACCCCTCCAAGTACTTATTAGAAAATAGCCCAGAACTAAAGTCCTACCTACAATAAACGTGCTTTATGTAATGAGTTTCAGCCTCTTTGGGGTGATCCTTTGAGTTTCAGTGCCTGAGGTTCTCTGATTGATACCATCCGGCCAGGTGCGGTGGCTAATGCCTGTAATCTCAGCTTTTTGGGAGGCCAAGGAAGGTGGATCACTTGAGTCCAGGAATTTGAGACCAGCCTGGGCAACATGTCCACCACCGCCATCTCTACAAAAAAATACAAAAAATTTAGCTGAGCATGGCGGTGTGCACCTGTAGTCCCAGCTACTGAAGGGGCTAAGGTGGGAGCATCACTTGAGCCTGGGAGGTCGAGGCTTCAGTGAGCTGAGATCCCATTACTGCATTCCAGCCTGGACAACAGCGAGACCCTGTCTTAAAAAAAAAAAAAAAAAATCTGCAAAACCACTATTCTAAGTCAGGAAAGTAGGCTTGGAGAAGTAAGTGTTTCTTGTGAAGGAGAAATATTAAGGAAAGTAAAATGAAGTTAAAATGAGCCATTTCATCTTGGAAACAAAAATTGGAGGTGGAGAAAGTAGAACTAGTTGATACCAGATGGACTGTGGGACCTAGAAAAGCAAATTTGTACTTTGGATGGAGATCAACCCTGAACAGCTGTTCGTTTATGAGTGGTAAGGGACATCTGTCCTCCTGAGAGAAACTTGGGACTGTGTGGCTCTCTGTCTTAATAATAATTGAAGTATTTTCTCATCACCTTCTAGTTTCAGAGGAAATTCTAAAACCTTGTCTCATTTAAGTATGGATGTTTATATAGGAGAGTTGGGTACTTGAGTAGCAGAATGAGACAGGCACTGGTTTGAGAGAATGCTGGGATTATATAAACCATGAGATTTGACAGACTGAGTTCAGGTCTTAGTAAAGGGATCAAGGACAATAATAATATTTAGATGTTGATGTTTTGATCGGGCTCAAGGTAAGGTAGTTGTCAGACCAGTATTCATAGACCCTAGACACCAAAGGATTTAAAGTGAACTTCAGAGAAATTAAAAAAAATAAAGAGCATAAACATACAAATTAATAGTACAACCACAAGAATAACTTTGAACTACTTAAATTTCTGCTCTTCTTAGTTATCACCAAGACAATAGGGTTGTAGACTTTTTATGTATTTAGAATTCATCTTGCCATTAATGTGGTCGCTGAGA